TCCAATATGTCTTTCAAATCTTATGGCATTTTTTGGTTGCCAAAGAATGGCAATGTAAGACACAATGATTGCGGAGGCATTTTCTGTCACTTCCTTTATTCTATACACCACCCCTTTAATTTTGCCAACCAATGCAGCCGCTCTATCATTGCAAATATCCAAACATTTTCTCTACTCTATATCATTTTTGCTTACATACTTGTGGATAGCCTTGAAAATTTCTTCAGCAGTGGCATAACTTTTAAGCTCTTTACACATAAGTTCTTGTTTTATTTTTATTTTGAATGGAAATCTCACAAATATAAGCAGAACAGCAAGTCCAGGAAAGTATGTTCTTTCATCAAGCTGTAAACTAAAGAATTCACAAGTTTTTATTCTATTTATAAGCTCTCTCCCTCTATAAAGTCTGAAATATTGTGAATTCTCTACAGCTTATAGTGCTGTTTGACATCTGCACATTATTAATTTTCTTGGTCATATTTGGACCTAACATGCATTGTACGACATCCTTCACGCAAGGTTTAATCAGTTCCTCGGCAATGGAATGGTATGGGGTTTTCCAGCTTTTGTAATGTGCAAACCAACAATAAATGATGCTTCAGTAGCGTTTTCGCTTTTATTTTTGCAGACTCTTTTCATCATTTATGTCCCTGTCGAATAGATGAAGGACGATGTCACAATGAACGATTCATTGCCATACTAAGGTACATCTCAAAACAAACAATTTTAAAAGGTTGCAGACAGCATTATATACCCAGTCTATATAATGGATCTCAAAGTATTCTAACAAAGTACTGCAAACTTTACGAGAAGGATCCATTTAGTAAAGATACAATCCCCTTATGCTCTATATTGCTTAAACAATTTTGTGGATCCTGACAAAAGAAATGGGAAAAAAATTGAAGCAACTCGACATGACACATAGTAGCAAGATAGGTTGGAACTTTGTAAAAAAAACATAACGGTTATTATCTACAAAATAAATACATTCCAAAAGTAAGCAGCGGTAATCATGTAGCACACCAATTAAGAATAAACGGCAAAACCGAAAAAAGCCAAAGTCCAACCGTTGTCGCAGATTGACTCTGAAAACGGAACGAATTTAACTTCCTCAATACACCGTACACGTTAGCTAAAAAATAAAAAGTCTGATGGTATAGATGATGTAAACAACAAAAATATCCAGTATTTCTGATCCATTACTAAAATATAGATATTACAACTATTTAACACCTGTATGAGGACCAAAAAGGTACCAAAGCTGTGGCAGCAGTTCCAAGGGATCACCATGCTGAAAATTGTAAAAATTTAGTAGAACGAAGCAGTCACAGACCGATCTCGCTACAGTGCCATTTGTTTAATAAATTTGAAAGAATACAATGCCTTGAAAAGACTATCGAACACAAGGACGCAAATCGCCAGCTAAAAGTATCGTGGATGGGAATGGCGCTGGAACACACTTCCAATCCAAAATATCTCCGAGTAATACTGGATAGAACACTTAGACATACATATAGTAGCGCTTACAAACAAATTTCTTAGAAAACTCGTAGGGAGTCGATGGAGTAAAAATTCAATAGTTCTTAAAACAACAGCATAAACACTTTGCTACTCGGCAGAGAAATGTGCATTTCCGGTATGGAGCAGATCTGTATTTTCAAAAACAAGTAGATGTAGTCGTTAACAAAACATATCGAATAATTAATGGGTACATACAACCTATACCTCTTCCGTGCTTCTATAGAGTCGCGGGCTTCGCCACTCTCCAACCACATCTAAAGGCCAAATAACTCATCGAAATATTTAAATAAAAGTTCGACATTCGTTAAAAGTCTAGACCAAGGTGAAGAAAAGGCTTCCTAAAGACAATTCCGCTAGAGCCACCTGACGAATAGATAATCCTGGCCACGCACGACTGGACTGGTAAACATAGATGTCATAATTATCATTGGCTCTACAACCCATAGTGGATTTTGGTCTGTCTTAGGATCAGCTTCCATTCCTTCCTATCTTTCTCCTTTCAATTTCGCACTCTAAATACAAGTCGCCTTCAACCTGGTCCTTTAATAGTATAATCGTATAATAAATAATCTGGGCCTTCCTCTTCTCCTTACTTCATCTGGTCCTTGGTTATAAATGTGCTTCGACAGCTTTATCCTGTTCATTCTTTTTAAATGGCCTAGCCACCGCAGCCTGTTTATTTTGATGGACCTACTAATACTAGGTTCACTATAAAGGCGGTAAAAGTCAAATAGGGCCTACGCCACAATCCTGCACTCATTTATAAATATTTCTGATGATTTGACGTTTAAAACTGCCTAAACATTCTTTATCTTCATCTCATTCGTCATAATCCATGTTTTTGACGCTTTAATGAGGATAAGCTTGATAAGAGTTCTGTATATCAATATTTTTGTTCTTTTTGTGACTATGTTTAATGTTCAAAGTTTCTTTAATAATTCAATGAGACAGGATTTTAAAGATTAAATAAAACATGGACGTCACTACATAGAATAGAAACAGGTGTTGACCTTGTCAATATAAATAAAGTCAGGTAGAGTAAGATCGACGCACAGGAATCACTCTACGAATGCAATAATTTAGAACATGAAACTATTATACTATAGCGCAGACTATGCTCTAGTATAACAATAAAAATATAAATATTTAAGGGAAGTTTTTAGTTATATATACTTTTTTTGTAAAACTGGTTGTATTTCAATCGATCAAATCCATACCAAAAGGGATAACAGCATAATTGAGATATACCCTTTCTTAGTTTTTGAACAGACCTACAAACATGGAGGTTTAAAAGAATACCTTTCATATCCTAACCTGGCAAATTCGGACAGAAAACAGTGAAGTAACTGGAGCTGATAGTCAGATGTTGTTTGTACTGATGACTCTAGAAAAACTATTGTTAGCAACAATAAACATCATGTTTTGGGCTATCCAGATGATCTCGTCATCATAGTCTACGGCTAATTTAGTGGTGTAGTCAGAAATATATTGGATCAATGCATAAAATATAACCGAGAGAGCAGTAATAACCTTATGGTAGCCAGACCTTATCACACTTATGGCAAAATGTGGCGTTTCTTTTACTTATATAGGTACATAAAATCTAATAGCTATAATATTCAAATAATTTTAAATAATTGATGGATTCGACCGTTACTTGATGGAAATTCATTTTATGTAACAATAAAACACTGAAAACTTTGTTTTCAAACTTCCACAAAATTTATTTTGAAACTTTACACAAAGATCCGACAGAAAAATATCAAAAACAAATTAAGCTAGCGTTAGAAAATTCAAAAGCAATACTAAATCCAATAGAACAGAAATACCTCAATATCATGAACCCCCAGCCTCCTAAATTATACTCTTTCATTAAACTACACAAACCGGATCACCCAATAAGACCTGTAGTTTCTTTTTATACAGCTCCGTCATATAAACTTTCAAAAAAACTGTTAGAGATTATTTTAGAACACACTAAATTTTCACCTAAATTTACCATAAAATACAACAATTAAAATAAAAATACAACTTTTTCAATTACCTAACAACTCCAGATTAATTTCATTTGACGTAAAAAATCTTTTTCCCAGTATCCCTCCTACAGAAACTTTTATTCTAGTAAAAAACCTTTTAGACCAAAATAGCACAAACCCTATAATTACATCTGAAATTTTAAATCTTCTTGAAGTTTGCATAAACCAGGACTACTTTCAATTTAATAATAAAATATATACAAATAACAGTGCAGGACTTATAATGGGTAATCCTCTAAGCCCATTGCTATCAGATAATTTTATGGATCATCTAGAGACAAAGATTTCAAAACATCCCGTATTCAAACAGTTTTTTATATTGGTAGAGATACGTAGACGACGTACTAGTATGTTTCACAGGAACTAACAGGCAATTCGACCAATTTTTATCGTATATTAATTCACTTCATAGTCATATTGAATTTACAATAGAAACAGAACAAAATCAATTCATAAATTTTTTAGATTTAAAAATTAGCAGACTTGAAAACAAACATGACTTCTCCATATTTCATAAACCTACCCATACTGACACGACTATACACAATTCATCAACCCATCCAACACAACATAAACTGGCAGCTTATCATAGTATGTTACATAGATTAACAGAAATTCCGATGTCAAAATATAACTTTGAGATAGAATTAAATATAATTAAGCAAATAGCAGTAAACAACGAATACAACGAACAAACAATTAATAAAATGTTAAATCAAAAACTACACAAGAAAGTACTGAAATTAGTATTTCCACCACCAGAGAAAAAACCCAGTACCTTCTGCTCGATTACATATACAGGCAAAATAACAACAAAAATTGCCAAACACATAAAAAAGAAAGGAATAACACCAGCTTTCCGAACAAATAACAACATAGGCAAATATATTAAAAATAACAAGAGCCAAAATAAAAAACACTTAAATAGTGGTGTGTACAAACTTCAATATGGCGACTGCCCAAAAACTTACATCGGTCAAACTGGTAGAAACTTTGATAAACGGATAGCAGAACATAAAAGGCCTTTCAAGAATAGAAAAACAGATTTGACATACGCACTTCACCTTCTAGATCATAATCATTCTTTTAATGACAAATTTAAAATTCTTCACATTCAAAATAAAGGCCTTAAGCTATCTTTGTTAGAATTTATGGAAATCAACAAATTAAAAAACACAGATATAATTCTGAATGACCAACTTGAGACAAACAGTTCTCCCCTCCTCAACCTATTTCATTAGAGACTATAAATTTGTAAACCCAAGCCAGAAATAGATCACTTAAGAAAGGCAATCAGCCGAAACAGCTGTAGTGATAAGATTTAAAATAAATTGTCTGGAAGTTTGAAAACAAAGTTTTCAGTGTTTTATTGTTACAAATAATTTTAACTTGTAACATATTTAAAATAATGATATAATATCTTATAATAAACTAATAGTTTACCTCGTCAATATTTATTACATCGCCAGGACAATGTGTTTCAGAAATTGCGTCCGCAACAGCTTTACCAAATACAACAGTTTCCAGAAGAGAGTTAGCTCCTAATCTATTTGCTCCATGTACAGATACACAAGCGCATTCTCCGCAAGCGTACAAGCCTTCAATAAGTTTGTCTTCACTGGGAGCCTAAAATTTAACTGGAATAAGTGTTTATCGAACTTTATATGGATATAGTACTCGTCAGCTAAGTAAAACCAACGGCGCACAGCTTTACTATTTCCGAGGATTGCTAAGAAGTCTTTGATGGATCGTATTCTCGACAAAGTATTATTTAGTGATCTGTATAAACACCACTCGGTTTGGACCGAAAATGATAATCTACGCTGGTACTAACCTGGCGAGTATTACATCACATTATGGTTTTTTTTTATCTTTCAAAGAAGGTTTAATTTTTTGTTATATATTCTTTGATCTTAATGTATTTCAGCATCTTATCAAGGACCGAATATAAAACTGAAAGTTTAGATGATTGTCAAATAGTTATACTGATAATCTTATAATGTTCACTTGATATTTTTGTAAATATATTTATTTTCCTTCATTATTTTATTATCCAAATAGTAATAAACTTCTGTTTATTATTATTTTTTGTTTATAATAAAATTGTTTGTGCAGCAGTAGATCCACGGATCTACGGAGAGGGCAAACCAGAGGCCAATACACCACAATAACTCGATATAACACAATTCTGACAAAAGTTTCTGATTTTAGGGAGGAATTTGTACCAAAATGCTTATAATGATATACACGGCCAAAAAAATTCTCTGAAACAAGATTTCCAACAATTTATGGAAGATGCTTTATTAGATAAAGCATCAGTAAGGCACAACGATGGTTTTTCTAGCAAATGGGAAAATTTTGAGATGTCCTCTTGGTGGTCATTTTTAGCGATATCTTTGGCCATATGGATATATTATGTCATATACTAAAGAAGAAATCTTTGTATCCAATCTTTAATGCTGGCCAGAGAAATAATACGAACATTCTGCTAAGTAGCAAACATACTGAAGAAGAAGTTAGACAGCAACTATTCCTACTAATCCGCGTCCCCAGGTGGCGGATAAGGGAATGTCCGACCCGGTTTACCGGTGGGTAGGAGGGAAATCGGCGTATCTAGGTCACATCATGCGAAATGAAAAATACCAGTTCCTCCAACTTATAATCGAGGGTAAAATTGAAGGCAAGAGAGGAATGGGACGCAAGAAAATGTCATGGCTCCGAAACATAAGGCAATGGACAGGGATTAACGACATACAATCTCTGATACATATTGCAAGAAATAGAGAGTTAATGGAAAATGTGATCGCTAACATCCATTAGTGGATTTGCATCTGAAGAAGAAGAAGAAGGAGGGAAATAAAATACCTCCTGTGGGCCAACAGGTAATTCACCGAATGATTGCTGGTATAAGCAATCCCCCACTTATGACCATCGACTGCGGGCGGATGAGTTAATAAGTGAGAGGGCACTCTTTTGTCCAAGGGTTGGGAAACTGGTCCTAAAGGCGGATGAATCGAAAAATAGGTCAACGGCGTAAGAACGGATAAGGCAACGGGGAACCACTGCATTTAAGACTCATAGGGTACTCCTAGTAAAGTTATTAATGGCAAATGGGAAGTAGAGTAAACAAACTTACTGATTATGGAGCACAGAATCCAAGATCCGGCAGGGAAAGACTAACCATAGATCACAGGGCCTCCCAGGTCGTAAACCAGATAAATCCTTGTGTGCTTAAGACATTGAAAATAGCAACCTGAAAAGTCAGAAGTCTATACGCAAGTGGTAATTTAGCGAACATACTGCTTGAAATGGAAAACCTCCAAATTGATGTTTTAGGTATAAGTGACGTACAGTGGCCAGGTTTAGGCAAACAAATTATAAGTAATGGAACCATGTATTATTCAGGTAACAACAAGGTCAATAATCGCTATGATGTTGATATCTTAGTTGCAAAAAAAGTCAATTACTCTGTGGGAAGTTTTATTCCTTATTCTGATAGGATTTTATCAATACAAATTCAGTCTAAAAAAGGTACAGTAAATTTTATTCGTTTATGCTCCTACGGCAGATAAAGATGACGATGATATTGAACTATTTTACCATGATTTGGAACAAGTCTTAAAATTAAATAAGAAACATCACACTACAATAGTAGTGGGAGACTTTAATGCCAAAGTTGGCCAGAGAAAAGTGGATGAATATGTGGGGGAATATGGTCTAGGAAATAGACATGAACGTGGTGACCATTTGATACAATTTTGCCAGATGGAAGAATTTGTAATAGCTAATACACTTTAAGCTACCAAAAAGAATCATGTATACATGGAAATCTCCCAATGATACATCGAATATAATAATCCGAAATTAAATTGACTTTGTCCTCATTAGACAAAGATTTCGTAATTCTATACTGTCTGCCAAAACTTATCCTGGAGCAAACATCGTTTCAGACCATAACCCCACAGTAGTCACATTACGAACCAAATTGAAACTGTATTGTTCTGAAGCTATTTTCTTGTGGCATTGTAAATTAATTATTATTTATAACTGGGAATAAGCCACATTAAAGATAAAAATACATTTATTGACGTTTCAATTTCCAATTCGGAAATCGTTCTCAAAATACAAATAGTAAATTTACTATTTGTATTTTGAGAACGATTTCCGAATTGGAAATTGAAACGTCAATAAATGTATTTTTATCTTTAATGTGGCTTATTCCCAGTTATAAATAATAATTAAATTGAAACTGGTTAAAAAACTCACACAAAGTAAAATTGATGTTAAGAGATTAAGGGAACCACAAACAAAGAAACAAACTGTAAAAATACTGAAAATCTACGTAATGCCCAAGAACTGAATAAAAGAAGCTATAACATTGATCAGAAATGGGAAAATATAAAAGTAGCAATAATTAAAACAGCAAATTAAAACTTAAAAGCAAAGAAAAGAAAACATAAAGACTGGATGACTGAAAAAATACTTCTATTAATGAATAAAAGAAAATCATTCAAAATAAAAAATCCAATTAAATACAATGAAACTGATCGATTAATTAAAAAGAGAATAAAAGAAGCTAAGGAGAGAATGTTACATGAGGAGTACGAAGAACTAGAAGAAATTGACATTGAAATTAACAGTTAATCCCCAATTTGCCTGTTGTTACTGATAATGCGTCATATCATAATGTACAAATTAATAGAGCACCCACCAGTAATTATAGAAAATGGATATGATATCTAGGTTGACAGAAAAAAATTTACCATTTGTAATGTCAATATTAAAACCGCAATTCTATGAAATCTTCAAACGACGCAAACGAGATCATATTCAATATAAATTTGACAAAGCGCTGCAAGAATGTGGACATGTTTTTTTTTAAACTTCCGCCATATTATCCAGACTTTAACCCTATAGAAATGGTTTAGGCGCAAATAAAAAATGGAGTTGCAAAACAAAACGTTTATTTTAAGTTAGAAGACGTAAAAGTGTTGGTGGAACAGGAATTTGCTAGAGTGACTGTAGATAACTGGAAAAAAGTGTGTGAATATGTTATCAAGGTTAAAAATAAGTATATGGAAAGTGAACGTCGCATAGATGTAATTACTGAATAATTAAGGATTGATTTAAATGATTCTAGTGACGACGACAGTGCATCTGATTATGAAAGTGAATAATATAATTTAGCACTACGATGTACCTATGTAACCTATGTGAATATAAGTTTTCCAAATTGCCCTGTATGTATGTATTATTCTTTTACTTTATTACAATCATTTCGTATATTTTTTTATTATACTTTGTGACGTTTAAGTGAGTAAAAATACAAATAATAAAGGTTTTACAGTTAAACCAATCTTTATTAATTAATATTTATAAATACTCGAATCAGTATTACGTATTTATGGTTTTAGATAGAGACAATATATGTATGTGATATATTATAATAATATGTATTAAAATGTAGTCCAATGTTTGCAACAATAGAATTTATTATCATTGTTTAATAAATTGTGTGTACCTATCTTTAACAATTTGATTTAAATCATAAATATTTTTTGGAACGCCACTGCTTTGTTTGATGAGGCTTTAGTGTTCCTAGAAATTTCCGCCACTACAGTTAAAACATACTCTACAGTCGTTACAGTTTTTAGTCTCGGTTTTATTTTTTTCATACCTCTGATAAGAGAGCTCTTGTGCACGAGTTGGCCTTAAAATTAATTTTTCCAAAACACAATACATGACCAACCTGGTACTGGCAAAAAACATTTCCACTAATGGCACGCAAATTGAACAAGTGTATTCCTATAAGTATCTGGGCCACGAGATTAAATTGGGAAGAGACAATCAAACAACAGAGTTAAAAAGGAGAATAGGACTGGCATGGGCAGCTTACGGAAAACTGAGGGAAGTCTTTAAATCAGCTATTCCCATGTGCTTGAAGAGAAAAGTTTTTGATCAGTGTGTACTTCCAGTTCTGACATATGGAGCAGAAACATTGACACTTACAAGAAAAGTAATTAATAAGATACAAGTGGCACAGAGAGCGATGGAGAGGTCAATGTTGGGCGTATCACTCAGGGACAGAGTTTCGAGTCAGATAGTAAGGAGAAAAACTGGTGTGACGGACGCAGTTGAAAGAATTACAACCCTGAAATGGAACTGAGCAGGACATGTTGCTAGGGTCAGAGATGGAAGATGGACAAAGAAAATTTTAGAGTGGAGGCCTAGACACGATGCTTATCGTAGTCGAGGACGTCCTCCAACAAGGTGGTCGGACGATTTAAAGCGCATCCAGTCTAACTGGATTCAAGTTGCTCAAGATCGGATGCAATGGAATTATTTACGGGAGGCCTATGTTCAGCAGTGGACGCAAAATGGCTAATGATGATGATAAGAAAGCTATGCATCCAACAATTGCTACCAGAGAGTAAAAATATGCAGAACTGATCATTCTAAAAGAGGGTACAAACATTTTAATTTCCTAATAAACTTAAGTTCAATAGCATGAATAATAGAACACAAGAAGTATTTCTTTATTAATTGTTAAATTATGAAATTTTTGTGATCGTGTTTTTGGATAACTTTCTTATGCGTTTTTCCTTATTTTTCAGTATTTTTGTTTACGTTGGATTACATTATAATTATAGACAACCTATTGATTTTACACAATGTTACTAATACATCCTAATGACCCGTATCGTAAGTTCTTCACCCCTATAATTCATATAACGATCGGTTCTTTCAATCTATGTGTATATAATTGTATGTTCCGCTAACATCAGATTAGTTATTAGTGTTTACTTAGGGCCGATTGTTCAATTGGAGATTATCTTCAGATTAAAAATAATCTTCAATTAAACTTAATATAGCGTTGTTCAATGCAAGTTTAGCACTTAACCATCTGTTAACCAGAGATTACCTTAATCGCCCAAAAACGAAGGATTAACGGTGTTAACTAGAGATTTGTAACCTTACTTTCTAGTTTTAAATTAAATATTGTCTCTTGACAGTTCTAGATTATAAAATATTACAAAATTATAGATTATAAGCTATTATAATTTCGTGTCGATAATAATAATTATGGCTATTGCTAATAATGGTGTCTTTGATTTTGATGATGGAGATATTACAGAGGATGAAGATTTCTTAGCTGTTATTAATATAATTTTTCCTCTGCGAAAAAATCCTGTGTTTCGAGTAAGAGAAAATCATTTTCATAAATGGTCAGATAGTGAGTTTTTGCATAGATTCCGTTTACCAAAGGAAACGGTTTTTATGCTGGTTCATCGCATAAGAGATAGAATAGCTCATCTTACAAATAGGTAAGCTTTTTATAATAGTCAATTAAAAAAATATATATTAAATATTTTTTAGAAATCATGCTGTGATGCCGGAGACAATGGTTTTGCTTACTATGCGATTTTATGCATCAGGAAGCATGATAATTACTGTGGCAGACTTTTGTGGTATTGACAAATCTACAGCTTGTAGAATAATCCATAGAGTGTCAGATGCAATTGCTAATTTGTACAAAGAATTTATAAAAATGCCTAGTACTGAAGAGGAAATTAATTCTAAGATTTTTAAATTTTATCAGTTAAGTAGATTTCCACAATGTATAGGAGCTCTTGACTGTACACACATTAAGATTCAGTCACCAGGCGGAAATGATGCAGAGATATTTCGAAACCGTAAAGGATACTTTTCTTTTAATGTTCAGGTTGTCTGTGATGCAAATTTGAAGATACAGGATATTGTGTGTCGTTGGCCAGGATCTAGTCATGACTCCACAATATTTAATAACAGCAGACTTAGATATAATTTTGAAGCTGGTCTGTACAGAAATTCATTAATTGTTGGAGACAGCGGATATCCAATTAGAAAATATTTAATAACCCCTTTAACTCAACCACGAACTCCTGCAGAACATTTATTTAATGAGTCACAAATAAGGACACGAAATCCCATAGAAAGATTTTTTGGTACATGGAAGAGAAGATTTCCTATCTTGGCTTTAGGGCTACGTGTAAAGAGAAATAGAATAGAAGCAATTGTTGTTGCCACAGCAATTCTTCATAACATTGCAAAAGAAGCAAATGTTCCTGAACTAGATGTACCAGATGAGTTACGACAAACTATTGAGGAAGATTTGGCAGCAAATTTAAATGCTAATAATGTACACTTTGAACAAAATGACAGACTAAACAATAATACAAATAGATTGTCAATAATACATAACCATTTTGCAAGGTTGTTGCAATAAAATTGAGTTTCAAACAAAATTCATTTTTTATTATTAATTTGTTTCTATTTCCTAGTGATGTTTGCACACAACAGTTGTTGTTAATGCTTTAGATTTTTTAATAAATATTTGCAACTTTTTATTGTATTTTATATTTTTTAGCATAATACATGTTAAAAACGAAAATTAAATGTCCTAGATTTTGTAATAAAACGATGTATTATAAAGAATTATAAATTAAGAAAAATAAGTGTTTCATTTTCATCCAAATTGTTTTGCTAATTTCTCAGTGTATATTTATTGGTTTTACCAAATTAATTACCAAAATTAATGCCTGGTATATTTATAAGCACCCATTGCCTTTTCAAGTTTTTCATTATGTGTAAAAATCATTAATTGTTTTGGGAAGGAAATCCAAATAAAAAACATTCATTTGATATAAAAAATTTTGTTGTTATAAACTAAAAAATCAACATTACTATTTTTTAAACATATGTTTTTTTTTATCTAGAAGCAGTATTTTCTTTTTAATTTCCCATTCTTCCTTTTGAATTTTCATGTGTAATTCATGTTTCTCTTGATTATGCTTAAGTTTTTGTTGGTGCTCTTCAAGAAAACATTTTCTCTGCAGTTCCACTAATTCAGTTTTGGATAAAGCCCAAGTCGAAATTTTTTTTTGAATATTTTTCTCATCATTTTTTAATCTCAATTCTGAGGACTTTGGCCTTTTTAGTTTTACCGTATTATATTTTGACCAATCGGTTGAATTGGTCGTGGGGTTTTCTGGCATTAAAGTAATCTTCATTGAATCATTAATGCTTTTTTCACAACTTCCTTCTGAGTTTACTGTGGGTTCTGTTTCTAAAAAAATGTAAATATAATATTACCAAAAATTTAAAATATATTGTACAGTACTTTGAAGATGAGTTTTATCAGTGAAGTCAATCAAAAAAATAGTTTATGTAACATTATTTGTATTACTTACCACTAACAGATTCTATGAATAATTCTCCTTGAAAATCCTTTGTGGCAACATTATTAGCAGGATTGTGTTGGTCTGAATCGGCGTCATAGTTAGAAACAAAACCAGTTACAGTATCTCCTAAAATTTCCTTAAGTGTGTTATCTGTACTGGAAATATCGACATTAATTGAAGGCCCTCCTCCTGTACATCTCAAATAATTTTTTTCTTCTGCAAATTTTTTCTTGACATTTTTTTTCATGTTGTTGTATTTTGTTCTTAAACATAAACTTGTTTTTGAACAGCCCATTAAGCTACAATATTCTTGGGCTATTTTTTCCCAGGTTTTCAGTTTCTCGGAATTTGTAACTGCATCACTTTTTTTATTTTCAAGAATATGTTTATATTTTTTAACAAAAGATATTAATATTTGTTCTTCATCAGCCGTAAAGTTAGCAGTTCTCTTTCTTTTATTACTTTCTTGCATTTTTTGCAATTTAAAATACAAAAATAATCACTTATACAAATCTCAAATAAACACAACAAATTCAAAGTGCAAAATGAAATGTAATGTAAACACAATGTCAAAGTCATTAACTTTTATATACGTACATAATATGAACACCAATGTTTATACCACAAAACACATTTATCTTTATAATTTTTATGATAAAATTTGTTCCAAGCCGTTAATTAATAACTGGCAACATTGCCACCGCTACAGTACTTGAGTTTAATAAATTCGAAAGTTAACATGCATTGAACAACTTTTTAAGAAATAATCTTTCAATTAACTTTAATCATTGTTTACTTAATCCATGAGTTAACTATTGATTCAACAACTGGGCCTTAGTGATGAAATCGATCTGAGACCTAATTGACATATTACAGACCGGCTATCATTAATTGTCACAAAGGAGCCTTGGAGTTATCCGAAACTTGTTGGACAAATTAGATAAGCTCAAAGTGAATTACTTGTACGACGTGACGTAATGGCGTAAGTGGTCGTGCGAATACATCGGGGTATAATAAATATGAATTTATGGTTGCCGTTGTCTCACAGGTTCATAGGTCAACGAGACGACATCAACATTGTGTATGTTCTGTGATATTGATTATACGGGGTTAACTTACACATACCTACCACTATTTCGATGTCACAAAAATGGGAGTATAGTCTAATCTAAATTATAGTCTACATATAATAAGGTTGAGTATAATTTAATTTAGAAAAGTGTACCTACTTAAAAAAGTTACTTAGGTTAAACTTACAGAATAGTACCGATTTTTTTTAAGCTCAACAAAATGGTTTCATATTTTTCCATTAATTCATCCAATACTGAAGGGTCATATAAATCCCAAAAATAATTTTAAAAAATACTGCATCATTAAATGCATTTTAAAACTTTATTCTTCTTCTTCTTCTGTTTATATAGACATGACTCTGTCTGTTTTTTAATGTGTTTCCAGTAAGTTTTCGTTCCATCGTTTTCGTGGTCTATCTATTGAGGAACCGTCTCTTGCCGTCTTTACTACTCTATTTGTTGTCTTACTTCTAGTTCTATCATATAGTGTCTTACCATCAATATTTCTAAGTGTTTTCATCTCGGCTGTTTCTAACATCCTTTTTGTCCTCTCTGTATCAGGTCTTATTTCTGTCGCGTATGTCATTATTGGTCTGATGACTGTTTCGTAAATTCTGCCTTTAGTTTCTTTCCCGATATTTTTATTTCTCCATATTGTTTCATTTAGGTAGCCTGCGGCTCTGTTTGCTCTATTCACTTGATCTTCCACTTCGGTTTCGAGCTTTCCGTAGCTAGATAATGTGATGTCTAGATATTTAAACTCCATCATTTGTTCTATTATCTGACTTTCTAATTTACATCTTAGTAAATTTGCTGTTGTAACCATGCATTTTGTCTTTTTTGACATCTTCAATTTTCTGGCGGTTGTATTAAATTGGTGCAGCATATGGTGTAAATCATCTTCACTTTCAGAGTAATAGAGGATATATTGCGTCGTGTGCATAGCAGATTATTTTAAGTTGTTTTTCTCCCATTTGGTATCCTTTTTAGTTCTTACTTTTTTTATTATTTCATCCATAATCAGTGCTGTTTATCTCTTCAGTCATTACTGATTCAAATATTTAGCATTTAGAAATGTATCTTGCAGGTATTGGTTAATTTATCACAAGAAGTATATTATAAATTAACCAATACCTGCAAGATACATTTCTAATTGCTAAATATTTGAATCAGTAATGACTGAAGAGATAAACAACATTTTATATTCTACTACAACTGGTAGGGATTATGTTCCAAAAGCGTACTGCAAACGTGATCCTATACGTCCTGTTATAAATAAATTTGAAGAACCAATTACGTCTGCGTTGACAAATTTTTTAACAATTGCCACAGATGTTAGATCACCATTAGAAGATGGAGATGAATACTATGAGAAAAAAAAATTAACGAAATATTGCAAGTTAGAACTGGTACTTCCACGTATGAAGATACATATAGTAAGTTTGGCGAATTTGCTATACGAAATCAAATACATGGCAAAATAAAATATCCAAAGTAAGGAAAGAAAGGGTACTAGGACAATAATATTAAATCGGGAATAAAGCATATTAATCCATAATCAGGTTGAACAATACAGGACTTATTCTTCCTGTTTTACCCCATTGCCAGCTTCAAGAGGGTCGGTTAGTTCTTCTTTTACTTTTATTTTTATTGCGTTGTTTTATTAGATATTTTCGATCGTTTTGATTATTGCTAGAAGTATCTCTCTTGCGTACAGTAAGTGGATAACGTCTTTTAATTTGACCCGGTCAAATGCCTTTGTAAGGTCCACGAAACACAGATGTGCCAATTTTTTGTATTCTAATGATTTCTCTTGCACTTGCCCCATTATAAATATAGCGTCGGTGCATGATCTTGACCTAAAACCTTGTTGTTCTTCTGCTAGTGTTATCATTTCATTCAATTTATTTGTTATCACTTTAGTTGTTAATTTTAGTGTTGTGTTTAATAAATTAATTCCTTTGTAATTTTCCGATTATCTCTCTTTTTGAAGAGAGGTAGGTATTAGGATGCTTGATCTCCATTCTTGAGAAATTTTGTTGTGTTCTATTATTTTTTGGATTAGTTTTAATAGTTGTTAAGTTAGATCTGGTCCTCTGTACTGTAGGAGTTCGTTCGGTATTCTGTCCTCTTCTGATAATTTTCTATTTTTTAATTTCCTTAATGCTTTCTTAAGCTCTTTCTCCTCAAATATTTATTTCTTCGTTTGTCGTCACCTTTGGTGTTGGTGGTTCATTATCTTCAACTTTAGCAAATAGGGATCGAAAGTAGTCTATCCATGTTTTTTCTGAATGTTTTTCGTTTTTATTAGTTCGCTCATTTTTTTTCTTTGTCCTCTGTTCATTCTCCATATTTCTTTTTGTCTTCCTTAGAAGTCGTGTTCCATATGTTCTGAGAAACTCTGTCAGTGTTTCTTTTTTATTTGTCTAACTAAAGTACCCGTTTCATTTCTGATTCGTTTATAGTGGTTGTATGCTTGTTTATTTGTTGTGTTTTGTATTGTAAACAGACTTTCTTCTTTTCTTTACATTTTGTCTTCACTTCCTCTTTAAATTATGGTGTTTTCTTTTTTGATATGTTAGTGTTCGTTACGTCCCTCTCTCCAAGTGATTCTTTTGCCTGAGTTGTTCCCAGTTTTCCTCAATGTTATTGTTTTCTAATATTTCATTCCCAGCGATCTTTTCTGATATTCTTTTTCTGTATAAGTATTCCGTGGATTTTGTATTTAATCCTTCGACTTTGATTTTTGTTTATGTACATCTTCTGAGTTGAGGCATCTTACGTCGATTATTTTTTACAAATGTATATCTCTGGTGGTTATAACATATTCTAACATAGATCTTTGTTCACGGGTATTATTAAATCTATATTTGTGTTGGTCCTTGTGGTCAAAAAATGTGTTGTTTATTCTTAGTTCGTTATTCGTGCAGAAGTTGAATATCAGTTCTCCATTTTTGTTATTAACATTCTCGTTATGTTTTTGTTTAATACCGGGTATTACTTATTACCTATTCGAGCATTAAAATGCCCCAATATTATCATCTTTCCTCTGACTTGATCTACTACTTGCTGTAATTGGTCGTAAAACGCTTCCCTTGTTGTTTGAGGCTTGTTTTTTCTGGGCCGTATACTCCGATGATGTTCAGATCTTCCTTCCCCATTCTTATCTTTGCTTTGGTATTTTAGTGAGGCTACATCTTCTTTGGTTCTATTTTCTTTTGCTACTCCACTGTAGATTAGTATGAATTCACCTAATTTTGATAGACCTTTTCCTTTCTTTTTTGTTTCCTCTAGAGCACAAATGTCTATTGGGCACAAATATGGATATGGAATAAAGGTAAATGGAGTTCCCATTAACAACATTAGATATTCTGACGACACTGTGATCTTAGCCGAAAATATTGAAGATCTTTAGAGACTGGTGACCAGAATAGCGGAGTATGGAAAAGAGTATGGTCTAACGTTGAATGTCAAGAAGACGAAATTTATGAGAATGTCGAAAACTCAAAGAAATAACGAGAATCTTCTAATAAACGAAACGAACGTCGAACAAGTAGACAAATATGCATGTCTGGGAACAATAATTAACATCATAAATGATTATCAACAAAATGAGAAGAGTGCTATGTACAAGGAATTTAAAATTGTAACTAAAAGTTAAGCCGCGTTTTCACGATGACAATTGGCGAGACAATTGTCATTGCACAATTGTCATCACGTGGTTGCGGATTGTCGGAGGCCAGTCCAGTTGAACGAGAAAATGTTTATACGGGGCCAACTATTTCCATTTTAGTAGACAGCTACAAATAACACAAACCACATGTATGTTTTGACTGACACCAGAGAATTAGAGGGAACTGGCAAAAACAAGACAACACTACTGGCGTACACCGATCACACGGCGCCAATTGTCGCGACAATTGAGATTTCGTGTGGTGGGGGCTCACTGGGTGAAGCTCATTGTCCTCATTCTACTCCCGGAGACAACTGAATTTTAAGCCAATTGTGAGGGCAGTTTAGACGAAGACAATAATTTCATACCAGTAAGTTGTCTTCTGACAATTGTCTCGCCAATTGTCATCATGAAAACGCGGCTTTAGGTTGACGAGGTGCTATGTTTTTTCGATTTTATTTTATAGAATGGAATCTTGGACCTTGAATTCGACATTATTGAAAAAACTGGAATCATTCGAGTTGTGGGTGTATAGAAGAATTCTGAAAATATCGTGGACAAAACACGTCACAAACAAAGAGGTTCTGAGAAGGATGAATAATAAAATAGAAATGTTAAGTACAATTAAAACAATAAAATTGGCATATCTCGGACATATTACACGTGGAGAGAAATACACCTTGTTCCAACTGATTATGTAGGGAAAGATCCAAGGAAAGAGAAGCACAAGGAGGCGTAGCATGTCATGGCTGCGCAATCTGAGAGAGTGCTACGGATGTACATCAAATGAACTTTTCAGAGCAGCCGTCTCAAAAGTC